GCAGAATACCACCAGCGATAGAAGACTACAAATCACAGCAATGCAGAATAATATGAAGCTACATACACTGTTGCTCAGCAGGGCTGTGCGGAGTCTGACCAAGGCTGTTGCAGGGTCTTAGGAGGCTGTGCAGGGTTGGACCAGTGCTGTGCACGGTCTCAGGAGGATGTGCGGCACCTCACCAGGGCTGCGTCTGTGGGTGTCACTAAGGCTGTACAGGCAGGTACGGATCTCACCATGGCTGTGCGGGCGGCAGGAAGGAGGAGGAGATGATGTGCAGCCGGACCAGCAGGCTGCCATGAGGTCCCCAGCAAGTAAGGGACCTCACGGCAGCCACTCCTGCTTAGAAATGTAAAGTGCCAGTATCAGCGCTTAGTATCGGGGCATTTTCACAAGTATGCATGAAAATGCCCTTTACCTCGGCAGCGATACTGGTAACAGTGCATCCCTAATACATAGAGTATGTATTCACTACAGTACATCAGTGCCCAGACTATAGGCACTTACATATTCTTCACAAGCTGTGAGCAAAAGCTTTAAAGCGTATTTCCACTTCTCCAGTCAACCCAGCCCACCCCCCTATGTGTTTGTTATGTGTTCTAGGGTACACAACATAACTAAAACAATTGTTAAACACATATTTCTTAGATTTTTCTTTGGTGAAGGCCTTTGTGCAGATTCAAGGCAGTTTGAAAGTGAACATAGAGGAACAAACTGAGTTCCACATCATTAAATATAACCCCTCTAAGTCGTTAACCCTTTGTTAGGACAGAGTTCAAATCTTGTTTGCAACTGAATGAATTCTGCTAGCACAGCACAGGCAGAGTTAATTAGAGTAAACAAATTCCCACGGCCCCCTCCTTACAGCCCATTTCAAACTTTGCAGAGGTATTTTAAAAAAATAACAACAAAAACTCCTGCCAGCAATGAACACTTAGTGTAGATGCAGATCACTTGCAGCGGACATGCTGTCCCTGCCTGACATCACTGGTTGCTAGAAGACCAGCGGTCCTAGCAACCAATGGCCGAAACGAGGCAGGGCCTGCGCTGGGTTAAGGCTGGCAGTGGATACAGTGGCTTTGGAGGCCAGGGTATCCACTGTCAAGACAACCATAACCCAGGGAACGTCAGCAATCCCTAAATGGCAAACAGTGATCTGAACATTGACTGAGCGGCTGTGCTTTCCGGACTACAGTCCACCATTTAGGGGCCTTCTCTAGGTTATGTTGGATTAGTTGGCTAGAGAGGGTGGGCTAGGGTGGTTTTTTGTTTGTTTGTTTGTTTTTTTAAGGAAAGTTTTGTACTTTGAAAAGAGACCGCCCTCCCCACATCATTCCATAAAAAAATATTTATCTTTGCCCATCTACCTCATAAAATGTATTTACGCTCCATGAAATGCCTCCCTATTTCCAGTTGTCCAGAATGCTTGAACACTAAACCAGTAGAGTCAGAGCTGTCACTCCAGTAATGCCCTGTATTGATCCCGCTTGCTCCTTGCACTATACAGAACTCCGGATGTAATCAAGTATTTTTTTCAGATTAGTGGCACACTAAATAATAAAACAGTGACAAGGACTGACAGCCCCAGAGCTTGAGTCTATCAAAACAAGTCAGCAATGGCAGCAACCATGTTTCTACAGGCACATTTTAAAAAAAGAACACTTTAAAAAAAGAACACGTGTCAAAAACTCAGCAGCTAATTCTCTTTTTTCTTAGGGCCCATTCCCACCCAAGGTGTTGGAACTGCACTAGCCATGTTTTTCATGAATGACATGGCAGTTTGCCTTGTTCCAGAGGCTCAGTTCATATCACTGCGCTACGGTGGTGTGTGCTGGAAAAAAAAAAAGTGTGACATGCAGTACTTTTGTCAGCGCACCGAGACGCAGTACAACCCCATTGCACCGTGCCCATAGAACTTAGTGATATTAAAGCCTGCTTTTTTTTTTTTAAACGTGTCCTGCAAGGAGACCCACCTTTGCTGGAGGCTGTTGCTGTTTTTCTTGTTGGTAATTCCTCGTTTTTTTTCTAGTGGGTCCCCGCAGGAATCTTCCCTCCGCCCCCTGTACGGGTGCCACCATCGTCCTAATGGAGGCACCCGTGCGGCTCGTGCCCGCAGTGGCTGTGTGCGTCCATAGACACACACAGCCCTGTGGCAGGCCACGCCCCTTTTCTCTTTGATTGATGGCGGAAGGAGCCTACCTTTTTACACTTCCTACTCTATGAAATAAAGGTTTTATTGCGGTCAAGTTCTGGTTGAGAAATTTCCCCTCACTCCCTCACTGACAATACTGTCACTACAACAGGAAGCGAAGGAAATCTCACATGGGAACACAGACAGAAATAGTAACCCTTTCACCCCCAACCCAAAAAAAGGACATAAAAAGGAGGGTGCTAAGGGTGATTAGGGTTTACTTATTAGCCATACACATTAAGATTATTCTCATTCAGAATAAGAAGACGACAGATAAACAGCATGGATGAAGGAATCACTCCTGTCGCGCTATAGTGCTGGCTGGCGCCTGCCGCTGTCAGCACGCCTGGACAGTGACTGCATCTGATTGGCTACAGCTACTGTCCAACCAACGATTTTCCAACTGGCTCCTTCAACAAACAAACATCAATTGAAAAACTCCATAAAGAGATAGATGAAATTGGATTTGTGTATGGCCACAGTATATGTTGCTTTTTATCACATCCTTCTGTGAGAAATATAAAATGGAGATACAGACTTTGGCAACTCACTCATCTTCATTACCAACCACGCTCTGCAAAGGATATGGACTCTTGATTGACAGCTCTTATCTCACGCTCGGAGGAGGCACGCTGTCACAGGAATCAGCACAGGCACTAGAACTGGAAGGGGAACCTTGTTTTGTGCTGGGAAAGTGAAGTGACAGTAAAAAAAAAAAAAAAAGGAGTTGTCATTCGAGAGTCTCCTTTGCAGAGCGTGGTCAGAAATAAAGAGGAGTGAACTGTCAAAGTTTGTATCTCAATTTCTACTCCACACACAAGCATGGGATAGAAAGCAGTTAGGTGACTAAGCTGTAAAAAACAATACAAGTTGAGACTTCTTCTTTAAAGAGGAAATACAGGATTTTCAAAAGTTAACCCTTGCGGTGGGGTTCCCCCCTGCACTGCAAGGGTTAACTGCTCGTTTTGGTCTAGGGGTGCAAAGTCAATATAATCACCTGATCCTCAATCCTGCCTGGCTGCTAGGCCAGTCCCCACAGTCTCTTCTTCCCCGGGGCTGCAGCAGTCTAAGCCCAGCTGATGTCATGATGTCTATGCAAGGTCCACTCACTCGCATTCACTGGAGCAGAGGGGAAGAGAGGTGAGCAGTCACCACTGCATATCCAAGGATCAGGTGAATATTTCTTCTTAACTATGTACCCTAGACCAAAACATGCACTTATTGAGAACTATGGGGTAACCCTTTTATCCCATAGTTCTCTTTAGGGTCATGGGAGGACACATACTAACCTCCTCCAGTGACCCAAAGCTCAGTATATAGTGGGTTATTGCTCACTAAATACTGAGAGCACCGCAGCCGGGACGGATCCCAACAATGCTGTTGAGATCCACCCAGCTGGCTGATTGACAGCGGGCTCTGCCTATCTAGAGGCAGAGCCCGCTGTGCCCACCCACTCCTGTTCCTCCAGTCAGCGCTGGAGGATCGGAAAGGGGGGGGGGATCCCTGCAGGGAGCGGTGACTGACAGTCACCACTCTCTGCATGTAGATGATCGGGAAGTGATCGAGCGACGGTATGTGTTCGCTCACTTCCTGATCTACAGAGTCAACATACGACAGTTTCATTGTCACAGGTCGGTTCTAAATATGAGGATGAGTGTAAACCACTCACCTCATAGTTCTCCTTTAACCCTTGCTGTGAGGGGGTAGCCACCTGCAAGGGGTAACATATAAATCCTGGAGTTCCTCTTTAAAGAAGAAGTCTCATCTCACCTTGCAGTAGTGTTGCCTGATGAGGAGTTCTCTGAACATAAAGATGAGTTTCCATTTCTATGCATTGCTGAAATACACAAAAGTGTCTCCTGAAAGCTGGACATACACTAGTAGAGTTTTTTTCCATCCGTGGAGGAATCTAATATTCTGTATTTTGCCTGATTACTGCAAATGTTCCGAAATTCTAACAGAATTTACATTGCCTAAATACCGGTATTACATTTTGTCCTGAATGATCAGCAACCTCTTTGCTACACGGAAGAAATGCGTTACATAATGTGATAACTGGCTACTGCAGGAGGCCAACACTGGAAGTAGATGATTATATATCAGAGTAGTAACTGAATGTATGAACAGTCTGCAAAGCACGTAGAATTCACAGCCACGCTGCACACAACTTCACTCTATCTTAGAAGTGTGTACAGGTAGCAGTTATCCTAGTCCATGAAACCTGTGTCCCTGGCAGACAAGCAGTGTGTAAACACAGGATAGTTCCAGAAGACATGCAATATACATGTATACAGCTCCATATCCTCAAATGACAGGCAATGTGCACTTATATACAGTACCTTTATTATACTGTGTATATATTGTACAAGGTAAGTGCACATTGCCTATCATTTGAGGATAAAGGAGATAGAGATGTAGTACCTTTATTATACTGTGGATCTTCATATCCTCAGATGACAGGCAATGTGCACGTATATACTATAATAAAAGGTGAGGACAATATATAGAGGAGAAGATACAGAAGAACATTGTACATATACAATAGGAGCTGTGAACACACTCACATATGTACATCACTATCATATGACAATTCTCATACAGACAAACAGTAGTGAGCTCAGCTGACAGGCTCTGCACACATGTGTATACATGTGAACTGTGAGCCATCATACATACATACACGTCCCATGATAATGACAGGCAGTGATACATTGTATACATGATGGGAGTCCAGCTGTCACTGGGGTCCCATGGCTCAGTGGTACAGCAGTGTGCGCACTCCGGAGCTCGGAAGCGAGCGATGTCTTACCTTGGTGCGGATCTGGCCGGAGGTGGAGACTTTTCGGATGAGTTTCTGGGGCCCCTCGTGCTCCCCTTCGCTGTCAGAGGACTCCTCTCCTGCAGCCGTCCCCGAACTTGTCCCGACCGGGGGATCCCTCATCGTGCCGCTTCCGGACATCTTGTCACAGTCCTGCCGGGGAAACACAAACCAATCCGAGTCAACTGGGCTGCACACCAGTACCCTCCGACCGGCCAGGGGCAGAGTGGAGGTGCAGGGCACAGTGGCGCGCCTGGCCGCCATCTTCCACCGACAACCGCCCCCTCCACCTCCCCGAACTATCACACCCGACCACCCAACCCCGCCCCCTCCATCCAGCTACACCTTCCTACTGTCTATACAATTACTGCGACCACCCAGCCCCGCCCCTTTTATCCATCGACACCTCCCCTTTTAGTCTATACTATCACTGCGACCACTGAGCCCCGCCCCTTCCATCCATTGACATCTCCCTCTCCAGTCTATACTATCACTGCAACCACCAAACCCCGCCCATTCCATCCATCAAAAAAACCCCCCGCCCACACAGCCCTCCCCGCCCCCTTCCATTTCCTCCAGTGCTCCGTGTACCATCCAGCGTCCTGTCCGCTGCTCCCAGGACCTCCCCCGGACCTCCCAGCGCCGAGCGGCTACACACATCACACGGCATCTCCAAAGTCAATACAAGGCTGCTATAAATAGCCTAACCAGCCGGCTACACATCTACAAACTATGTCACAGTTGTCGGCACCACGCCAGACACCAAC